CTTGGGAGAGATCTGAAATCCAAGCAACTTAAAAAAGAAAAGCTCCCCATGCATTCCAGACACTGAGCAAACAAGTTAAGGCAACAGAAGTCGCCCTCCCCCCCGCCTCTCTTTTCCATCCGACTGTCTTCCTAGAATTTATAGCACATATTCCGCACGTCACTGCACTTCAAACTCTGCACGTTCCCCCCCGTGGAATTCTCCTAGACATGATCCCACTAACCACTCATGTGTGCACATCAGTTATTTTATTCCACATCAAGAGAGTCAGGTTGGGGGCAGGGGATGAGGAGGGAAGTGAGGCATAAGCGAGCGAGGGAGAGAGAGGTCATGGGGCCACATGAGGCACTTCCAAGCTGGCAGGGAATCCAGACCACTCGGGACTGGCCGCTGAGTGGCAGGCAGCTGAGAGGGGCACAAGCAGAAGCCGGCAGCCCCGGCGCCAGAAGGCTCACCACCAGCGCCAGCGCCATCGCTCGGGGGTGCCTCAGGTGCCCAGGCCTGAGGTCAGGGGCAGCCTCGCTGAGGAGGCCACACGAACCTCCCGGGAGTGTCTCTCAGGGGATTCGGGGAGGCCAGAGGCCCATCACCCCAGGGTCGTTGCTCTGCCGTGGGCAAGACAAGCACGCACTTCCTAACAGCTCACACAGTGATCTCAGGGCTTGTTCTTGGACTACCAGGCAGAGCAGACGCTGGGCTCTCCTTCAACCACGTACAGGCTGTTTCAAGACTCCGAGAGAAATTCCTCGGCACGTAAACATACACTGTAGCGAGACTGCGGGTCCCCGACGCTGGATTTCAGAGACAGGCAAACTCAATAAGAAATTCTGTGCTTTGACAAAAGGGCAGCCGACATTTTATTCTGCAGCCAGGAGCATTTTAAAATGAAAATATTGCCCTCTAGTATCACCTTCATTATATAAGAGGACATTTCATCACCCAAATTAGGAAGGACGTAATCTCAGAATAAAAGACAAGCCTTTAAACTGAACGAACTTGACTTCCTATATTATTTAACATGTGTCCTTGTGCTTCCGACCTGCACAGGAGGCCTATGCCATGGACGCCGTGACTCTTGCTGCCCCCTAGGGCACAAGCCCAGCCGACCCCCAAGATCATAGGCTGTCCCAGCACCATCATGGCCTCGAAGACCCATCCACTGAGAAGAGGGACCAAACTCACAAGGACAGCAGTGTACACGTCGCAGGGATGGCTTAAGTGCAAAGTGCTTTCACATACATCCTCTCACGTGTCCTCCCAAAAGCTCCATGGGAAAGGCACGGCCAGACCCGGCCCATGTAAGAAAGCAGCCTCCCTGGGAACAGGACCTGCTCAAGGCCAGGCAGGAGGCAGCAAGCACAGGAGAGCACTTCTCTCTAGGGCCAATTTTCCTTTGCTCAGCCTGACCTTGGCTGCAAGTTCTTCTCTTTCTATTTATGCATGAACCTTTCATTTGAAGAATCAATTCATGGAAGCAAGAGGAAAAAATTAAAATGATGGCACTCAGGCCTGATAACAGAAACATATTCAACACCAGGAAACTGCTAATTGTCCTTTCCTTTTTTAAAACTACCTGTTTAACAACAAGCGCATGTTGACTACAACTTATCAAATGTCAAAAGAGAACATCAAAAAATAAGCATCACTGCCTTAAACCCTTTTCTGGAACAAGGTAGGGCATAAATAAGTAAATAAATACATAAATAGCATAAGTAATATGAAAAGGCACAGATATGTATGACACTGATGGGTTCTGGAAATACATGCAGAAACGCCACCCAGGATGCCACAGCTGAATTCGCAGAGGTTCTCAGAGGTGTCAGCGCTGCCTCCACCACACCCCGCCCGCACCCCCTCCCCCACCCACCGCCTGTCCGCAGCAGCCAAGGCACAGGACTCCGTTCAGTGGCCAGCAGGCGCCCCAGCAGGGACAACAGCAGGACACTCCCGGGACCAGGCTGGGGGCACCTCGGGCTCCTTCCCATTGGTGCATCATGGCCCTCCCTGCGGAGGGCTCTGGGGCTGCAGCCTCATTCAAGTACCACCACATTTCCTGGCTATGTGGGACTAGTGCCCCAGGGCTTAGAAACATGATTTTATAAAGTGCTCTGATGGAGAGAGTTACTCTTGCCTATTCTGGATCCTATCCCTGCCAACAAAAGAAAAAGGGAGCTTTAGCAAAGCGTCACTCAAAACAAGAAGGAATGGCCTTAAGTAGCTATCTACGTTATGTTCAGATTCAGGTTTGGCAGCTGTGAAATGTCAAACTAGGGCCTGAACCTCGAAGTTGCTGGGATTGTGAAAAAATCTCTAAAAGTTGGCTGCACAAAGAGAAAGCCAACCTGTCTCTGCAAAGGAAGAGCTGAGGCCCTGGCTCCTGCGGACCGGCCCTGAGCACACCATGCTCAGGGGCCCCACTCCCTGGCTCAACCTCTCCCCAGTCCCACTGCCTCCCCGGCCAGCTCTGGGCCAGGCCCAACAATGAGCGTCGACTCAGTCTGCTCCTTCCAGAGAGATCCCAGAAAAATGGTTCCAACCCCCAGAAACAAGTCCTGCACTCACTTCACCTACAAAGGAGGCTGACGGCCACTCCGCTGGTGCAATCCCAAGGTCGCACCGGCATGGCTGGGACCCCCGCACTGTCAGCATTCCCAGATGCTGCTTTCCAGAAGGTCTAAGAACAGAGACACCCTCCTACCCAGGGCCGGGCTGGGGAGGCTCTGTCCCTAACAGACCCCTGAAGAAAACACCAAGCAGGGCGAACTCAGAATGTCCTGCGAGCCTGCAGCACGGCTCACCCGCAGGGACCCCGAGCCAAAGGGCAGCTGCAAGAGCTTAAAAGTAAGGGGAGGGGCTTCCCTGGGGGCGCAGTGGTTGAGAATCTGCCTGTTAATGCAGGGGACACGGGTTCGAGCCCTGGTCTGGGAGGATCCCACATGCCGCGGAGAGGCTAGGCCTGTGAACCACAACTACTGAGCCTGCGCGTCTGGAGCCTGTGCTCCGCAACAAGAGAGGCCGCGACAGTGAGAGGCCCGTGCACCGCGATGAAGAGTGGCCCCCGCTCGCCACAACTAGAGAAAGCCCTCGCACAGAAATGAAGACCCAACACAGCAAAAATAAATTAATTAATTAATAAACTCCTACCCCCAACATCTTCTTAAAAAGGGGAGCTAACCACTCCTGATACACCTCTCTCAGCCCGACCACGGAGGTGACAAGCCAGCGCTGACACACCCCCAGTGACACGAAGCCCCCTCCAGCGGCCCAGCCCACCTCTGGGTGGCTCGAGCTTCCACACAACCCTTCCCTAAGTGCAGGCAGAGCCCCAGCTCCCCGCAGCTCCTGGCCCAGCCGCAGCCCAGCTCTGGTGTGGTCCCACCACAAGTGCCACAGGAACGCAGCTGATCCCCGGCCCGGGCTGAAGCCCTGCAGCGCTCGGCTCCGGCTGCAAAGAGCCACATCGGCCGCCCACCCGCAGCTCCTCTCCTCTCAGGAAGCCTCTCCTGACGCCGAGCTCTGAATGCAACCAGCCAAGCAGGCTCCCCGTCCTGAGAAGCAGCACACAGCCCGCTCTCGGGCCTCAGAAGCCATCCAACACTTACGCCTTGGCCACCGCTTGTAATGAGGTGAAGCCTCCAGCGGCTACGCTGGCACCCCAAAAATCATCGACGGCCCCCCTCAGACCTCATACGTGCATATACGGGCCAGCCTGGCTTTCCAACACACGTCCATCCATGACACAGGAGGTGGGGTTCAGAATTCCATCCTCGAGCCACAGAAGACAATGACCAGACACTGCCTGTCTGGTCGGTGAAGACACATAATGACGCTAATAATTAAATAAACCCCTATCATTAGTTCAATTGTTACAAATTAGATTTCTCTTATTGCAGAAAATCCAAACACAGATTTGAAATCTGCCCGTTTCTAAACACTTCTAAAGGTCAGAATCACCATGGATCCACACAATGGCCCTGAGGCCTCAAATTACCAGTTGTGATTTCCCTGGAAACAGCAGCACCTGGATGCTCTAAAGAGGCAGCCGCTGGCCCACCTGTGCCAACATGGCCACACACCTGGCCGCGCAGCCCAGGTGTGAGTGAGCCCTGCCCACAGCCGAGCCGTCCGTCAGGTGACAAGCCAGCTCATTCCTCTCACTTCTCACCACCCCCAGCAGGCCAGAGGAAGACCTCTGACCTCACTGCTATCCCCTTTCTTCGGTTCTAGGAGCAACTACCAAAAAAGTGAAGATCAATCAACCAAACAGCAGATGTTTTGTCCACTGAACATAAAGCAACTGAAAGCTTAGAACCATCCAGAAGATGACTAAAGTTTCCACTTTCTGGTATGTGCAGGGACTAGAAGACAGCGCCGCAGGCATCTTCCTCTTTTAGAACTGGCAGTGAATGCTGTTGGACAGTCCTTGGTCCGAATGTAGGCAGTCAATTACTGGCTATTTCAGCGTTGGCCTCCTAAAATCAATCAACTGTCTGGAAGCTCCCCAAAGTGAAATGGCAGAGAACTCATGAGACCTGTTGGCATGATGCTAGGCACAGGTAGGTATCAGAACAGGTGCAGCGCTGCAGAACTCTGAGCGTTACCTAAAGAGGCTGTGAACAAATGCAGGTATTGACTCTGAGGCAGTAAAGCCAATCCATGTGGCCAGGAAACCATCCTTGAATGAAGACAATTAATATGACGCCTCCGCCACAAAGAGAGAACAGTGAAGCGGCAAGGAAACGGGGTGCGTATGATAAACGTCACACGTCTACCCCAGGAGCAGGGGAAACAAACTAGTAAGTTCAGGAACTGCATCTCTGTACTTTTATAGCAAGACTCCTTTTCATTTCGCGTTAATCAAGCTGAGAGGCAAACGCAGCAGCACAGCCCTGCAAAGTGCTAGTTCCCCCTCCTGGGGAAGTCAGCCGGCCTCCAAGCTCAACCCGGACTTGCTCACATTTCAAGGCCCATTTCATTAATTTCCAAAACACAGACATTGAGGAAGAACAAAATTAATTTTGTACGAGCCTTTCGGCTGATACCGACCTAAGGACTGTCCGACGCCCCAAGCACCTTAGATGGAATACAATCCACGAGGACAAGGCTGATTCCGCTTCATCAACAGCCAGGTGGGATTCAGTCAGCAGCACAGGACGTGGTCACAGGGGCAAGAATCGGTGTCGACCGGCTCTGGAGACTGCTTCCTCCTCACTGCAGTCAACCACTGCTCGTGAATTCTGCTCATACAGCAGAAACTTTTTTATGGGGTCTGGCAGAGGCAGCGAGGGAATCAGATGGAGTCGGTATTTGCCAAGCGCTCTTCTCACGGCCACGCGGCACAGATTCAGCAAGGTCCTGGGGACACCTGGAACGCATGGGAAGAAAGGGAGACAGAGGGAGAGGTTAAATGCCTCTCCTAACCCTACAGACCAAAGGCTGGCTCTGAGGACAAGCGGAGCTGCGCCAACGCTCGCTGCCACTTCCCACCTCCAGAGGAGAGCAGGCCCTGGTGAGAAAGGTCTTGTTATCTGCTCAACTCTGTGGAACTCCCTAGACAGAGAAACAGAGCTGGCCACTGCACGCCCCAGCAGGTGTGACAAACTGCCCTCTGCCCTCTGTCAGTCTCTGCTCTTGGTCCCTCCCAGAAGCTCCAAGGGGGTCTGAAGGGGACGGGCCGAGCAACACAGGAGGAGGGCAGGCTGACAATTTTGCTCTGGGTCAAAACAGCCTCGCCGTGTCTCTGCCTGTGAAACAGGCATGAACACAGGGAGCCTAACTCTGTCAGTGTGGCTCCAACTGACCAGCAAGCAACTCTTTTGGGGAAGGCTCAACAGGACCATGTTTCAATGACTGGTTTAAGGAAAGCCAATAACAAGAACACAACAAACTTAAGTTCTGCGAGAGGTAAGGGACTGGGGAAAAGGGGGTCACTCAGATGCCCTCAAGACCCAGACGGGAAAGGGGCAGGGTGTGGGCAGGTCAGAGGGCGCACAGGGTCAACTTCTGAGTCCCGGAGAGAGAACGACAACAAGTACCAAGCCACGGATCAACTGCAGACTCCCTGGCCATCAACGTAATTCACTGGCAAACTCCTTCTTCATGAATAAGCAAACTGCAGACCTTATTCTAACAAAAATCATACTTAGCACACGATGCAGAACAGTGGTATTTGAGTGGGACTGAAGAAGGGGACGTGAGGCGCCCTGGAGAAGGCAGGGCTTGCAATCTGTTGTCCAGCAAACACTGAAAAGCCATAAACACAGCAGTGAAAGAATCCGGGATGACAAGGCACAGCAAAGGGGTAAAGAGAACATAATTCTAGGAGCTCTGAGAACATGCACTTTGATAGATTTCTTGGTATTAAATCTTAGTGTCTGGGAATTTCAAAAGAGAAGACCAACCTGGAAGACCATTCTAGAAAATTCCCAGTCCTCACTGAAGGTTCTGACCAAGTGCTTAGTTGGAGGTTGTTTTTTTTTTTTTAAATTGCTACAACTTGGTTCATTCAATTGACTTGAAGAGACTGCCAGTCAGAGTTCAACTAAGGCCACTTACTTCTGGCCTCTTTAAAGACCTGCAGAGCCTCAGGGTCCACCTTCCTTCTGCCTCTCGACTCTGGGCCCAAGGATTCCCACTTCACCAGGTTCAGGTTGGCTCCGAACTCCACAAGCAGGCTAACGAAGGCCGCCTCACAGCCGTGACGCAGGACGGCATCCATGACGCAGCCGGGGGAGCCCCTGTAGAAGCCCTGCGTGTTGACGGGACCGTTGCAGTTGAAGTCCGGGTTTGCCCCAGCCTGCAGGAGCAGCTTGAAGCACTGGAGGTTGTGGTAGGCTGCGCTGATGTACAGGGGGCAGACCACCAAGGAGGTGAGCCGCCGGGAGAAAGGGGGCTGGACGTCAGGAGTCAGGTGGTGGTTGACATCAACATCGGCCCCGTACCTGCAGGGTAGACACACGGACAGTGAGACCTCACAGCAGGCCAACTGCAGTCAATGCATCCCCACGGCACCCGGTGGAGATGGGCCCGAACTCCAGGAGCGCTGGGAGCACCGGAGAGCCCCGCAGTCACAGTGGTCCCGTGACCACCAGCAGGTACCACGGTAGTTAGGAACCTTGGAATCCACTCACGCAAAAGGAACTCGTAAGGGAGTTCTTTCAAACCTTTGAAGATCCAACAATCCCATGGCTATTTTAACTATTTCAAAGCAAAGAAAAAGAAGGAAAACTTCCAAATTCAGCTTATGAAATTAACAAAACAATAATCTCCAAACCTGACAAAGGCCACACCATAAAGAAAAACTACCAACTAACCGCACTTAGGAATATCAACTCAACAACCTCCAATAAAACGTTAGCAAAGAGAATCTAAAAACATTAAGAAAGCAACATACAATGACCTCATGGGGGTTATTCCAGGGGGTAGTTCTTAAATTAGAAACTCTATTAACATAATCCATCATATTCACAGAGCTAAGGGGGAAATCCATGATTATCTCCATAGATGCAAAAAAAAAAAGGCATATAACAAAACTCAACACTTAAGCATGTTTGCAAATACTTAATAAAAAAGAACGTAAGGGATATTTCCTTAACATGGTAAAAAATATTTCCTCACCCCAGAAGTCAGCCTCTCGCCTAGCGGGGAAGCGCAAGCAGCAGCTCTGCCGGGAGCAAGGCTCACAGCCCCACTTTCCAGCCACTCGTTTTAAAGACTCTTTTTTTTTTTTTTAAGTACTAGTGCAATTAGACAAGAGAAAGCAATTAGCTGACTAAAATTGGAAAGGAAGAGGTAAAACTTTCCCTATTTACAGAAGATATAACTGTCCGGAAATCCTTAAATAATTAATGAAAATGCAGTTAACAAGCAATGAGAGAATTTATTAAAGTAGCAAGTTTTAAACCAACAGCCTTCTATATACAAACAAAAACAAATTGAAAGATAAAATGAAAAAGACCTCATTTCTGAGAGCAAAATAAATTTTAAAGTGAGATATCTAAGCATAAACTTAACAGTATATGTCCAAAATTTGCATGAGTAAAATTATAAAATACTACTGAAAGTCACATAAGTAGACCTAAGGACACAGAAAGACATACCGTAGTCTTAGACAAGAAGACTCAATATCATTAAGATGTCATTTTCCCTAAGTTTATTATATAAATGAAAATACCCTCCCCAGAACTAAATAAGTTGACCATAAATGTAAATACATAAAAATAACATCCCTGGAGCTACATAAGTTGATTATAAAGTTGATTTGGAAGATCAGGAAAAGATATAAAAACAAAGCTTTTTTAACATAAGTAAAGTAAAACAATAAGTTACATATTGGGGGAAATGTTACATCCTTAATATATAAAGACCTTCTAAAAGGAAAAGATAAACAGCTCTATAGATAAATGAGCCAGAGATGGATACAGACACGTGCAAACAGCTCTCAACCAGATGAAAAGATGCTCAGCCTCACTCATAACAGAAATGCAAATTAAAACTACTCGGAGACACCACTTCTCACCTATCAGATTGGGAAAAATCCAAAAACTTATTGACCGAGCTTTAAAGAAAAAGAAAGTCTTATTCATTGCTGGGGGCCAGGCATAATGGAGCAATCCCTGTAGAGGGAAATCTGGTGATAGCTGGCAAACTTACCTATGCATGTACCCTCTGATGCACCAATCACAACTCCTGGAATCTAGTCCCAAGACACATTTGCAAAACTCTGAAAAGATGCATACACAAGGCAATTCATTAAAACAGTACCCGTAATAGCCAAAGGCAAGAAACGAGCCACAGGTTCGTCAAGAGGGCCTGGCCCATCCACATAAAGGAGCACTGTACCATCCGAAAAGGAATGAGGACCAGGGCTAAGGACTGCTCTACAGTGATCTCCAGGACACCCTGATAAATGAGAAAAGCAGGACGATGAACGTGAAGTATGCCACTGTTTATCCTGGGGAGGAGGCTGCAATACCAATGTGTACATGACACACACCTAGACACATGCCTGCCTATTTTTTAATGATGGAAGGATAAACCGCAAAACTTTTTAAATGGTTATCTATAGGGCAGGGATGAAGCAGATGAGGATAGAACCTAGACTGCTTTTAATATACTTTGTTGTATAGATTTGACTTTGGAACCATGTAAATACATACTATAAAAAATTAGGGGCTTCCCTGGTGGCGCAGTGGTTGAGAGTCC